TGACCGGATCATTAAGGCCTCGTTTCCAGAGATTATGCCCAAATGAGACTTGAAATAAATCAAGTGTTGAATCGGCGAACTCTTCCCTTCAAACGGTGTGAAGTTAATCAGATTGAATTTGGTCGGGTATGGTATTGAATCCCATTCCCTCGGATAAGGACATGGAATACCCGTCTTCTTAACTTCTTGAGCCGTCATCAAAGCATTGATTTTGTCTTCAAGTTTTTGCATTTTCCCGTCATCGTCTTCATTTCTTTCTGAATGATGTCGAGTAAAGATAATTGGACCACCCCCAGTGAGAGGTGCTATTGAACCACCCCCAATATCGTTATTGGGAGGATCCGTTAAACCACCCCCAGCGTTATTGTCATTGGGAGGTGTATCAGCCATAATGACTTCATCCACCTCTGGATCACTGTCCTCTACAACATTCCGAGTGTGGTGGCTGGATTCAAGTCGCTGATTGGACTCAGGAGGTTGAGGCTGTTGAGTTAACAGTTCTCTCATTTGTTGGATAGCCAACTTCATTTCTGTCTTCACTTCAGCTCTAATTTCTTCACGTTGTTTGGCTAGAGCTTCCTGAAGTATTTGAGTGAACTGATCAGCAGTGATTGTGAATACTTCTCTGATTTGTCCTGTGCTAGACATTGTATCATCAGAAGCGATTGCAGAATAAGTGTCCGAGAATTCATCCTCCGAGGACATTCCTTCTTGCATTCTCTTGTAGTCTCTGCGTCTGATAGCTCCTAATTGGAGTCGAGACATCCTTTGAGCAATTCTTGGATTGACTTTTCCTTTCGGGGAAAAGTCGGGATTTGAGTCACTTGAATGCTGTTTAGACTTTCTTCTATCAGCTACGTTGATGGTGACTTCAGGGAATTCATCATTTTGGGCAGCTGATTTTCTTTTGCGGAAATGTCTCAGCTTAGGCTTTGATAATGCAGAGACTTTTCGTGGGATGATTTCTCGTTTGAAACAGTCACATTCTGATAATGCTGTTTTGACGAGTCGTGCACAGGAACAACGAGAGTTTATCTCTCGAATAACTCTCTTTCGAAAATTATTCACAACCTCAACTTGATAATACGATTCATCGGTATGATTGCCAAAAAATCGTATCGTCTGTTGGTATGATCTCCCAGGTATGACGATATCATTTGGTGAATGCGTCTTCTTCTGGGAGTATAAAACCTTGTTGGCATTCTCAGGACAATTTATTTTTGTCTTTAAGCGATCCAAGGTTATGTCGGGAGTCGCACGTTTAGAACCACCCCCTTGTGGGTATGGAGTCTTAACGGGCTCCGAATGCTGATTTTGCATAAGTCCAGACTTCAGAATCCAAACTTGGCGGAGTTTTGGTGATTCTTTGGTCACCGTTTCCTTCCTCCTTTCTCGTCTTTGTTGTAAGAGAGCACGGGCATGAACAACGTTTGCACGACGTTTTTGTATACGTTCTTGGAGGGTCGAACGAGCCCTTTTGATGAGTGTCCATTCCTCCGTTGTGAATTGTGCAGAAACGTGAGTAGTTCGTCGTTGCGTTGAACGAACCACTTGTTGTTTCCTCGACTCTAAGTCCGCATAATAACGAACTCCGTCGGTTTGTTCAAATGCCTTAGCTATTTGACGAGCAAGACGCTGACGCTGTCTCTGACGAGCTCTTTTCGTCAATGTCGTCGGGCTTTGATTCGATGACTCTTCAATTAGATAAGAGCCATTTTGAGCAGAGGTGTTGCGAGTGAAATTCTCAGCAACAATCAAGCGAGAGTCTTCATTTTGTGCCTTCTTTGGCATGCAACTCTTCCTCAATTGTGAGATCCTCTTGTACTTGCGAGATAATGAAGATCTTGAAGAGGATGATGAGAGATATTCCTCAAACTTGGTTTGGTCGAATTCGTATTCGACCATGGATTCAACTGGAATCTTGATCGGCTGCGACACGACGGTCTCGGCAGCGAGACCGTTGGCTCCCACTGTGGTCGCCAGCTTGTTTGCGTCAAAAGTTGGTTTTGTTATGGAATTCATTATATCTTCGGTCGATTACAATAAATTCAAAAGAAATAGTCTTTTTATAAGACTTCTTTTACACAACAAAAGGAAAATTACAACTTTTTAGAAACAAACGCAGGATCGTTGTTTGGATCGCTGCTTGCGTGGGATCTTTGCCTGTGCCGGGAGCGCTTTGACTCGTGGACCACCAAATCACAGATTCTGATTGAACCGTGAGGGGTTTAATGATTCTTCCTTCGTTTATCGAAGTAAGAATTTGAAGCGAATATCTTATCGATGTAAGATGTTCACTCTTCCAAAGATCAAGTCTGAGCTTAGATCTCTAGGACTCGCTAGAAGCTTCTTGAGGATGTTTGTGAAGAAGGAAGACTCTCTCTCTTGCTCTAATTCACCAAAACTCAAGGCTCTCTGCTCTAATCTCTCTGGAAAATGCTCAGCCCCTGTCAATGATGGCTATAGGGGGGTATTTATAGCCTCCTTAGACGATAACTGAAGAAATAGCTGGTCAATAACTGTCTCTTTAGGCGCGGCAGCTGATGATGTCGCGGCTAAAGGGCGCGACAGTTGACACTGTCGCGGCCAAAGAGCGCGGCAGTCGACACTGCCGCGGCTAAAGGGGCAGTTACACCCACGTTCATACGTGTTTGAAACAGTTCTCCCACGACCTTTAACCACCTTTTTCGTGGTTTAACTGCTTTTCCACGTCAGCACACGTTCTATTTCTGATACGCCGCCACGTGGACTTTAAATAATCATCAGATAACTGTATTATAACTGCTGTAGCATCCTGCTTTAACTGCCGCGGCACCATAGGTTGCAGCGGTTAAGCCGCGACACCATAGGCTGCCGCGCCTTAGCCGCGGCACCTTGGTCTGCCGCGCCTTAGCCGCGGCACCATGTCCTGCCGCGCCTTAGCCGCGGCACCATGTCTTGCCGCGCCGCCATATGTTGCTTGATGACGTGTATATTGTTCTTCTATATCGTCTTGAGTGGTGTTTGAATGTCTGTAAGCATTTTTTGATGTCTACATGGATGTTGTGAAGTGAATATTGAGGTACATTCGAGGTACTCTTAATGTTGGTTTAATGTTTGAGCGGAACACTAGTGGTGGATAGTTATGCATTGGATATAGATTCTGACTATGCTAAAGATTTGGATAAGCGCCGATCGACGACGGGATATGTGTTTACTTTGACCCATGCACATGTGTGTTAGAGATGTACCTTGTAGTTTACAGTTGCTTTGTCGATGACAGAGGTAGAATATATAGCTATTACGGAAGCTGTTAAGGAGGCAATATGGCTTCGAGGACTTTTGGAGAACCTTGGTGTTTCGCAGCGGTCTGTTACCATTCATTGTGATAGCATGAGTGCTATCTATTTGGCAAAGAATAAAGTTTTCTATGCATGGACGAAGCACATTGACGCTCGCTATCATTTTATCCGAAATGTTCTTGAAGATGGGGATGTGTAGCTTGTGAAGGTCCACACCAAAGACAATCCAACATATATGCTCACGAAGGTGGTCTCTAGCAGCAAGTTCGATCATTATAGAAACTTGTTGTAGATTTGTGTTTGTTGAGGCATGTTGAGGCTATTTGGAGGAACTATGGGCAGCTTGATTCCTCGGGAGAGGGGGTATGTAGGCAACCACATTGGTACAGTCAGATTTGGAGAGACGACACATTAGTGCTCTTGTTGGTGTCAGCTCAGTTTTGGGAACACTTCGCCGAGGTGAAGAATTGTTAAAAACATGTACATCACAGGTCTGAAAAATTTTCTATGGTCGGTCGACCGACCAGAGAGCATTAGTCGATTGATTTGATCGCCAGAAAAGCAGGTACATGAATCTCTTTGGTTGGTCGACTGATCAAACAAATCAATTGACCGATAACGTGCACTGCAGGAACTGGGGAAATTCACTTTGGTCGGTCGACCGATGAATCCTTATTGATCGACCGATAGCGGGCTGAACGGGTAAAACCGTTTTCCAGTCTATTTTGGATTTAGGGTTTTATATATTTAGAAGGTGTGCGGCTAGAGAAAAAAAAAGAGAGTTGACCAAAGAAAATTGAGCACTTTGAGAAGGAGATTCTGAGTAGGTGAGTGAGATCTTGTTGATGAGGGTTAGTTTGATTGTTTGAGAGTTGTAACCATTGTATTTCTTCTCCATATAGTGAAATCTCTTCATCATCTCCCCATGGACGTAGCCATCTTGCCGAACCACGTAATTCTCTGTGTTTGCGGTTGATCTTGGCTGTTTGGATTGTGGATTGTGCTCGTTGTATTCTGTGTGCATTGCTTACCGACTTATTGTGGATTACATCCGTTTCCGTCTTTTGCAACATACAGAAGGAGTAGTTAAAAACAGGTTTGTGAAAGCAGGTGCGGAGGAATTGGTCGTGATTCTGATGGCAACTGGTTGATGGTTTCCGCGCTTTATTTAGGAATTCATGCCGTTCCAATTACTGAGTTACAGGATGTCAGGGTTGCAGTTAAAGTTAGCGCAGGAGCAGAGCGGGAAGAAAGTAATTCTTGAATCGGATACCTTGAGCGCTATTGATTTAATCACTCAAGGGGATGCAATCTTTAATCCTGTCGATGCCATTGTTGAAGATTGTCGATGCCGGATCAATCAAAGTTGGGAGTGCCAGTTATCACATACAAATTCGAGAAGGGAACAATGCCGCTGCGGATGATTTTGCCAACATTGGTGTCTATGCCACTAATGCTGTTCAAATTTTCATAGGGATTCCGATTTATATCAGCAGCCAAATTCTTGATACGAGTTGGGCTCTCTCGGCTTGTGAGGGAGAGTTGGGCTCTCTCGGCTTGTGAGGGAGCACTCCCCGAATCTTCGCAGACACCGATCAGTGGATTTTATAGAATGGGCCTTGGGCCTTATTCGGCTATAAGCCCATTGTGCAGTGAGGTTTCGCGCTCCGCGCGTGATTTCGTGACATATTAAGCCATCGAACATGTTTAATGAGGGTGACAATATCAAAGGCGAGATTTTTTTTCCCTCGAGAATCTTCTATTGACCAAATACATTTCCCCTAATTATCTCTCCCTTTTTTCTCGTCGAAGATCGATTCGCTGCCTCAATAGAAATCGCCGATCTGCGGGGAGAAATTCGCTGATTTTTTGCGGCTCTCAGCCTCAGGTTCGAGCTTCTCTTTTTCTCCTCTCTCTTATGATTTAGGGCTGTTGCTTTAAATGATGAATTTGGTCAAAAACCCTAGATCCAGTTTCCTCTTAGGAATTTGATGGCGTTTGGTTCCGTTTCTTTGTAGATTATTGATTGATGTTAGGGTTTTGAGATCGTTATGTTTCGGGGGTTTTCGTTTCATTTGGGGTGCCGGATTTGTGTATTTTGGATAAACGATTCTGTTTTTTTTTTTTTTTTGATGTGGAAGTTTGATCTTGTTTGTTCCAAAAGATTTGATTTTGCTTTTTTTTTTTTTTTTTTTTTTTTTTTTTTTTGATGTGGAAGTTTGATCTTGTTTGTTCCAAAAGATTTGATTTTGCTTGCTCGTTGACTTGATCATTGAAACTATATAACCTAAATCGAGATCTTATGATAGAATATGTTTTTTGGATATGCAGTGAGATATAGGGTTCATTGATGGATAGAGGATTTTCTGAATCTTCAACCAATGAAAACCAAAATTCTTTTTCTTATGGAAGCAGTAGCAGTAGTGGCAACAATAACAGCGAAGCTGGAAACTTTGAATGTAACATTTGCTTAGAATTAGCTCAAGACCCAATTGTTACGCTTTGTGGGCATCTTTTCTGCTGGCCTTGCCTTTATCAATGGCTCCATGTTCACGCGCACTCTTTGGAATGTCCAGTTTGTAAAGCCGTTATCGAAGAAGAGAAGCTGGTTCCTCTTTATGGCCGAGGAAAGACGTCGACCGATCCAAGATCGAAAACAATGCCGGGGGTTAACATTCCCCATCGTCCATCTGGACAAAGGCCTGCTACTGCCCCTCCTCCTGAAGCTAACCATAACCAATTTCCTCATGTGAATCCATGGTTCATGGGTGGAGCCCCGGTGGCCAGCACTAGGTTCGGAAACTTCACATTTTCTGCTGCTTTTGGTGGTCTGTTCCCATTACTGAACTTTCAAGTTCATGGGTTTCCTGATGCTGCAAATACTTATGCTACTGCTGCTGGTTTCCCTTATGGGTATGCACATTCATTCCATGGTCCACATGCCCATGGCTTCCCTCGTCACATGCAACAGGGGCAGCAACTGGATAACTATTTGAAGGCACTACTGATTATGATCGGCGCGCTTGTTATTGCTGCTCTTATTTGGGCTTAGACAATTGTAGTATTGGCATGGCGTATATGCATAATAAACACCATACACTTGCTTTTGTGTGCTTCAGAGTGTTCTCATTCTTCGTGATGTGTTGTAAGCTTCATATCTCAGGTGATGATTTGAACTAGTTGTTTACAAATGTTCATAGAATCTAATTACAAATTAGACAATTGTGTTGTTAGTTTCTCATTACTTGTATTAGATTTTCTGCAAATAGGGAATACTTGGTTTACTTGTCTAACATTTCGCTAGTCTTGTTAATCTTTGCAAAAAGTGTTAGGAATCATGTCATAATTAAATTGCAGTTTGTTTTAAATGCACCTTTGTACCTACTTACTGCTTGATATGGACATCTGAAACATGCTTTACAAATAAATATGTGTTTCCAAAGTAAACTATATGATTGTTTTAAAATAACTTCATGCTAACAGAAATAAACCTTATTTTTGGTGTTGATCTTCTGCTTTGAATTCACTTAACGATAACAAAAGTAAAGCTTTAATTTTGTTTTGCAACCAGTATCTGGTTTATCTATTTCATATGGTGTTGATAAATCTGGAACTGATTACCCATGATGATGCATGTTATATCTAATGCATAGTCCTATAGGTTTGTTTTCATGATTTCTGAGTAATATAAAGGATTGCATGAAGGGAGAAATGCTTGTATTTTGTGGAAAACGGAAATGAAATATTGTTTATCAACGTGTGATGAAAGATGCCGATCTATGTGATTCTATTTCATATGTTATGTCGATATAATTTTTCCCATTCGGTTTACAAATGTTTTCCCTGTCATTACACTGAATGCTTTTAAGAACAGGATAAATAGGAAGTCCCTTAGAGTCTCTGTAGTTATCTTTTTAGATTATGACACTGCTATCTGTATGTTGATACCGTCCAATCAGTTAATAAATTTGTTGGTTGGGGATTTTATATCCATATATGTTGGTGACTTGGTAGAGTAATGTCTACTTTCTTCAGTAATTTTTTTGAAGTTATTAAATTTTTATTGCATGTTGTAATCGATGTTGCAGCAAACTACCTACAAGCAGTGAAATAAGTACCATCTGGTATTGGCGATCTAACAGTTGAATAACCATGTAGTTGAAAGATGGCGATTTTCCATGCGTCTCTGTTATGAAAGCCAATACTTTGGAACCATATCTAAGGCCTTGTATGCGCAAACTTGCTAGGGGTGTCTAGGATCTGTAATAATTCAACTGAGCAGAGTAGTTAGGGATATTTTATTGTAACTGCAACTGTTACTGTAAATTGACTAAAGTGTAAATTAGATCCAGGGAAATGCGTGTGATTTAGTAGTAAGAGATATTGGTGTTCTTTGTGAAAAATATATTCAAATACAAGAGACTTATTGTGGTTTAATAATTCTTTTTGCCCAAAGACATTCATGCATTTGGCTTCACTTCATTTCCAATCACGCTTTTCAGTGGCGCTCAAACCAGGGCGCTCAAACCATTGCTATTGGCCTTGTTTTAAACTGAGGTGAGGTAACTTTACAGATTAATTTTTGGTTAGAGTTTACACCTCAACTACTGATTTACTGTGGTTTCTGAGTGATGTTAAACTGTTGAGCTACCTCTAAATTAATATGCTCTGACCAAGAAATATTGACTAGAATATTCCTCGAGGATATATTTATGACTTTAAATTTTTTATGTGTCAATATAACTTAAAAGGTACTAGCTATCTTTTGAGGTAGAGGGATAAGAATATTAAGCTTGGTCAATCGTGACGATTTCATGAATTGGAGATATATCTCGTTCATGTTGTTCTGGGGTCGTAAATAAGGTCTTCATTTAGTAAATTAGCCTGGTACATTATTTTAGATGGTCCTTTATAGGTTCAGACCAAGAAGGAAGTGTCTATCTCGAATCATTTAAGGGTTTCCAAAATAAAAAACGGTTTAGATGATCGTTTAAAGGTTCTATTGCAATGAGAATAACTTGATACGCTTCATCAGGATCAAAGCAGAGTACTTCAGACTGGAGGGACAAAGAGGAGTTGCACAGACTTGAAGGTTTAGGTTTGTCAACTATCAATGGTACTTTTTGTGTGTTATGGAATTGTGTCCTGCCTTCAGCATGATATTTGATTTTGGTCGTTTTGTTGTATCTGTTGTACATGAAATATGGGGTAAGGGGTAAATCTATTTTCTCACCTTAATATATATATATATATATATGAAGAGAGAGAGAGAGAGAGAGACACACACACACCTATCTCTTCATTTTTTTTGGCCAGAATATCCATGTTTAACTTGAGTATTCCTTCACTTTATATGGATATTGAACTTGACAATTTGAATAATACCAGAACCGACAACAACAATAACAAAGCCATTAACTCAAACTTTTGGGGTCAGCCACATAAAATCCTAATCTTTCATTGTTTGATATGAGAAAAGCTAAAATTAAGAGACACCTAGACTGCTTGATATTTTTATATTACAAGAAAGATGATTTAGTACACAGTTATGGATTTCTAGTTATTGTTTGTCTAATAAATATTATACAGAAGGAAAATACTAAGTGTACTCCACTTTATGTACTACCTTGGCACTTTTATTCACAAAAGAGTTGGAGCCTTATTAGTAGTTCGTGCCCCCTTTTCCCCATTTTTTCTTTTCCTATTGTTCTTACAGTTACAGCCTTCCTTTTCAGTTCTTTTTGGAGTACTTGTTATATTCTGGTAGCATATGGCAATTTGAGTCACCATGCTTCTGCTGCATACATGGTATGAAAGCACTGAAGGCAAAAGTCCTGGTTTTGGCATACACATTAGAGGAAATTTTCTCATGCCTGTAGTTGTGACGTTACACGTTTGAAAAATGGATATCAATAAATGAATTTTCAATGCATTTGGGTTATTAAGTTTCAAAGTTTGTTCAATCATTGGAGCACGTTTACAGTTCAATTAGCAACTTTTGGATAATATTAGGAATATATTGGTAATACATGTTGATTACTTTGGGAGGGACTCACAAACTTTCTATGCCCATTCAAGTATTAATGTCCAGTTCAATACTTTCTATTCCGCTATTTTATATAATTGAAGGATTGGTAGGGAAAACACAACTACATAGGGTGGGCTAGCTGGCATATTGAGAATGCTTATCATTCTTTTTCGTTGCTGTTTACGGTATGAGAACAGCTAATGCGTGAACTGGGTTTTCTCTATCCAGAGCTAGCTTGCAATTCACGTGAGAGGGAAGGAAGGCCTTAAGCCTTCGTAAAATTCCTCTCATCTGGCAACCATTTTTTTTTTCTAGGGTCCAAGGATATGAGCTACAGGTTCTGAAGTTACGACGACCTAGCTATGGGATATGGAGCCTGGAGATCATACTCCCCTCGGTTTTGCTAGGAATTGTTCCATTTTTTCCTTCAAACCATATACCTTATGTCTGGAAGAAATGAGATTATATGTGAGAAATTGTTGCATGCGCATCAACACATTTAATGCATACCTGCACTTTGAGTAGTTTGCACAAACGTATTCATCATTCAAGAACTAGAACCAACTAGGAGAAAACATCAGACGGATATTAAGGATCTTATCTCATTTGTGGCTAGAGTGAAGAGCTTTGTAAGAATCAAGAACCTCACACATTAGAATTATGAAAAGGCTGAACGTTCCGTTTGATTGTCATTTCTGTACATTTCACTTCAAACACCTTGCAGAATATTTTCAGATATAAATCTGTCGGCATATGAATTATCAGTTCAAGCTTGAGATCTGATAGCGTTCCAATTTCATCTAGAAGGCTTCACTTTGTTATTTCTTGTGGATTTCTATGGAGAACGCAAGCAAGAACCGTTTCCTGATCCTGATTTGCACGCGAACATGCAGCATTTGTTGCAGTAATTTGAGATGTGTTTCATGCCAACTTACTATTGTTCTTGTTTAATAATTCGATCCATATATTAACAAGGGTTCAGGAACAAATCCTATTATGTTTATTTATTTGAGATGGAATTTTATGTTACATCAATAAAGGGTGGCCTTGTTTCTTCAGGCTCTGGTTTCTCTATCTTCAACTGTAAATGATTCTGTTGCAAATTCAACTACATTCTGTGTTTTGCTTCTTTAGTCAACTTTCTTGCCATATGTTTTTAGCGAGATATACTTAATATCTGCATTTTCATTATTATATTGGTATTTACTTTCTGAACAATGTTTTTACGCTTCCAGTTTCTCATTTAGACTCCCATTTTTCTGGGGATGGATTTTACCTCTTCTTAATTTATCATTCAGTGTAGGCTAAATGGCACTTAAATATTTTATTGATTCACCATCTTTATACTAAAATACGTTAAATTGTAAAAAGTAACATTTTAGTAACTTAAGTTCTAAAAAATTGGCACGTTAGTATATTCTGTTAGTTGTCATTGGAATATTCTTGGGAATATGTTTTGACAGCTAATGTAATGTATTTAAATACTACTTTTTTTTATTATTTTGGGTAGTAAAGTGCTATTTTTTTTATAATTTTGGGTATTTAAGTGTTATCTTTTTACAACTTAGAATATTTAAGTATAAATGGTTGAAACAGTAACGTGTTTAAGTGCTAGTTTTTTTTTATAATTTAGGGTATTAAATTGTTGTTGTTTTTTACAACTTAGAATATTAAAATGCTAGTTCTTACAACGTAGAGGTAACGAAACAATAGGGTATTTAAGTGCCAATTAGCCTTCAGCATATTTTGATGGTTCCTATAAAGTGTTTGCACAGAATTTGTACCGCGGTCATTGTCATCTTTTGCGTGTGGTCCCCCCTCCCCTGGGTTTTTTTAATAAAGGATGTGTTAATGGTTAATTAATATGAATATTTCCAGGCAAAGTTATAGTTTAGAAACGTTTTTCCATTTGCAAATCCCCACCAATATTTTATGACCAAGTTACATCTTAGGAATGCTTTTTCCATTTGCAAATCCCCTCAACCACCGACACAAGAGTATTGTTAGGTCTGGATATGCGAATGTCTACCAAAGTTTTTGCTTGCAAGTACATGCACCTGTTCTCTAGGAGACAACTGGTAGTATATCACTCGTAGAAAATTATAAGAAACATGTCCTTTATGGTTTGATTTAAGACTATTCGTTACCAAACTATGTAGCATTGATTTGGGGACTAATAAGATATTGAAGAGTATGTGTTTTGCATTTAGGGGATTAGAGCCTTCTCAAATGGACCCAAATCCTTTGAATTGTCGG